CAGTCTGGCCGGCCACATGTCCGACTACACATGGACAACATCTCTGCGGTCCAATATATCAATCGTCTGGGTGGAGCTCGCTCCCAGGCTCTAGCAGATGCAACAAAGGGCATTTAGAGTTTCTGTCTCTCCCGCAATATCATCCGGAATCTCCAACCTCACGGCAGACTGGTATTCACGACATTGGAGGGACGGCCACGACTGATACCTCCACGAGTCGATATTCTAAAAATTATACAAATGCAGAGGCCCCCTCATCATCGAACTATCTGCATCACGGACCAATCGTCAACTGCCCAGCTTTCTACTGGATCCTGAATGCGAAGCAGTAGACACGTTCCTTCAGACCCGGCTGAACGTGGGGACTTACGCCTTTCCTCCGTTCTACATGCTGGCGAGAGTGATACACCAGGTATGCAACCAGAGGATATCTCTACTCCCCCTGACACCACTATGGCAGAGTCAAGCGTGGTTCTTGGACCTTCTGGAACTATTCTACACCATCCTCTACACCACTCCTACCCTAGTTTCCTCTCCTACTATCCTGCTCGCAATGAGAACTGCATCCTCTGGTACTTCAAGGATGACTAGATCTAGTGGCTTGGACGATTTCAGGGGAGCTTGGGCTACAGACGATCTATCACAAATCACTAAGTACCTGCTATGGGACTCGTGGGCACCCGGAACCAGACGGAGCTACCTCGCTGCCTGGCACAAATGGTCTAGCTGGTGTTTGGAGAGGGACTATGATCCATTTACAGCTCCTACCACCATGAGTCTCAATTTCCTATCTCATTTATTCTCGACGGGTATATCGTATCGGTCCAATGTTTCATGTTCAGCGATCTCAGTGGCTCACATTGCGATCCAGGGCCGACCAGTAGAAGAGGAGCCTCTGATCTGTAGACTACTGAGAGGTATTCATTTGTCACATCCTCCAGATCTGAAATATTGTAGGCGTTGGGATAGCGACGTGGTATTACGATTTTTACGGGAATGGCCGGAGAATGCTTCGCTCTCCTTACGACAGTTGTCAGCGACACTGACAGCACTGCTTTGTCTGGTCTCCTTTTGTCAGGTGATGGACGTTAGGGCCTTTGATGTAGAAGGTTTATAGTTCACCTTGGGCAGCGCGTCTTTCTCGGTGTCCCGAAATACTAAGACTGATTCAACTACGTTTTTAACCCATTTGAACCACCACCTTGCGTGGTCAAGATACTTCACTATGTGTAAACAACCGCCCCTTTATGTGGCTCACCGACGGGTCAACTTCTCGTGTCGTATACCAAACCGCACAAGCCGGTCTCTACTACCACTCTGGCTAGATGGGTCTGCTGGCTCCTGAGGTTGGCGGGCGTTAAATCTTGTTTCAGTGCTCACTCTGTATGGGGCGCAGCAGCGACGCAGGCTTTTTCGACCCGAGCGTCCCTCTTAAATATCATGCGTTCGGCAGACTGGTCTCGGGAAGAGACCTTTTGGATTTTTTATTTCCGTCCTTCTCATGCTTCCTTTTCTCTACTTGAATAGTTGTAAAAATGCAAAATATGAAGTCTCCTGTCATGTGGTATTCAATTTATAAGCATTATAAGATGTAGTTATGAACAAGAGTGAAGTGTGGAATCATGGTCACTACCAATTCCTTTCACTTATTTCTTCTTCCTTTTAGTATGAGTACTTCCATCAACTACAAGCGGAACGTACTTCCCTCAAACACTCATTACTGTTCGGAGTTGTCAGGATGCTCAAGTTTCTACAGTTTTCCATTTCCGGTTAAAGGGACTATCTACATTCACACCAAAGAAAGAGGAATTGGGGGCTGTCCGACCTTATATCTGTTATGATTGTTGTTTTCGGATTGGTTAAGGTTTTTGATTGACTTTTTGCTGCTGGAGTTTTAAAGTAAAGAAAGTCAATGCAAAATCCTCGCCTCCTGTCATTACTAAAATTACGATTATTAGTACACTATGTTAGCATATTCTACAATTGTTTGCCTGGGGCTAGTTACACCTGTAGCACACATTACTTTGACAGCTCGGAACTTTTCCAGACTGCTAAATGTCAATTCTGTGCATATTTTATGTTTGTCATATGTGCAAACTGCATGCTGGCCACTGCCATATTCTGAGCCATGTTTCTCCCCTTACTCACTGCAGCCCTCCTGCCTCCCTATTCCTTCCATTCAATTCTTTTTAGGGCTCTCTCCAAACTCCAACTTCCTCTTGTCACCTCATGCACTCTGAGCTGGCTAAGCGATCAAATCAAAGAAGCCTTTGATTGGATCTTGCAATGGTTACATTTAGTACCTGGTTGACGGTCTTCTCATCAACATATATTATATCATAAAATTACAACAGAGTCATTATGTGTATAGCTCCAGGTCACCCCCCCTTTCACTCTACATCAAGTTACCCCCCCCAAAAAATTATTAAAGGAACATTATATTGTCAGGTATGCAAACATGTATTCTTGACACTGCAGCTCTAAGACTGCTGTTTAGATGGCAGCCTCCCCCCTGTCAGACGCTTAAAATGTGAGTTTACTAACACTTTTTCCAGCTCAGCAAGGGTTTGGTCACAAACTTGATGATCTCAACCAATCCAACGCATTCCCATAGGAAAGCATTTAGAGGCTATTGCGCATGCGCGGCAAAAATGCCTTGCTGCACCAATCAGCATTTCCTCATAGAGATACAGTGAATCAATGCACAGCATGGAGACACTGAAAGCTACACTGACACAGAAAGCTCCTTTAGGATCTCTACTGCCACTAGCAGTGTTTCTAGGCAGTAATATAAACAACTGCCTTTTTCCTCTGAAAAGGCAGTGAATACATTAAAATGCCTGCAGGGATATACTATAAACACCACAACAACTACAATAAGCTGTAGTTGTTCTGGTGACTATAGTATCCTTTTAATTGATGAACAAGTTAACAGCTCAAGTTCATAACTAATCTGAGGCACATCAAAAATACAGGCAGTATATATAGACTATCAGTCATTTATTTACTAAGAGGAAAGGATGCTTTCCTTTCTGGGGTTGTGAGGAGAAGGCAATCTCGATTGTTTCACACCATTAACACCTAGTTGAGACACACTGGACTTTTTCTTCACTAAAAAGGTGTCAGTTGAGACTTGCTGTTGCTTAGGTTTCAAAACTTGTCTAAATTGAGACACAGAGTCGATGGCGTGAGTAGAAAGGAGAAGAGATGTTATTGTTTGAATGGGGAGTCTCTTCCATAATCACAAAAGGTAACGGTTACATAGTAGACATAGTTGAAATGAGACTTGCGTCCATCAAGTTCAGACTTCCTCACATTTGTTTTTTGCTGTTGATCCAAAAGAAGGCAAAAAAAAAAAAGAAAAAACCCAGTTTGAAGTACTTTCAATTTTGCAACAAACTAGGGAAAAAATCATTCTTGACCCCATAATGGCAGTCAGATTAATCCTTGGAAGCTATTACCCTCCGTTGAAAAATTATATCCTTGAATATTCTGTTTTTGCAAGTAAGCATCTAGTTGCTGTTTGAACATCTGTACGGACTCTGATAAAACCACTTCTTCATGCAGAGAATTCCACATCCTGATTGTTCTTACAGTTAAAAAAAAAAAATAAAAAATAAAACTTTCATTTGCCTTAGGTGTTCTTTCCCTTAATCATTCCACACCACTAACACCTGGTTGAGACTCATTGGACCTTAATTGCCTGCACTAACTAAAAAAATATCAATTGAGACTTGCTGCTGTTTTAAAATTTGTCTAAAATGAAACATAGCATTATCATTGAACATGTTTGTGGCATGACTTACAGCAGCTTTCAGGATAATATTTTTCAACAAAAAGTTGCACTTCAACCCACTTTGAACACATTTCTTTGATCAATGCACTAGGAACATTTCCCTTCCCTTCTACAAGACAATTCCTCAAATGCCATCTGTTGCTGCTCCTCTATGAGTTCTTCTGTGGTGAGTTAGGCCTCTTGAGCCTCCAATTCTTCATCATTCACCTCCATGCCTACCGACTTTCCTAGAGTCACAATATCACCAACAACAGAAGCATCCCGTTCAAAACCCCCAAACACTCTTCCAGGGACAGCCTCTGGCCACAATTTCCTTCAGGCTCAGTTTCTGGTCCTGTAAGACACATTCCTGCATGCTTTATCTAGGAGGTATAAACAATGGAGGATATTAAAATGATTTCCACAGAACTCTCTAGGGCTTAGCTTTGTGTCTGAAGTCACTTCAAAGCACCTTTGGAACAGTGCTTTGGGATTAAAGCTTCTTGAAGTTTAAAATTATCTGCAATTTGCTTTTCATGACATTTTTTTTTTTTTTTTTACACACCCTTGGGCTCTCCGAGTGGTGGACTAGTAAAGGATGCAATTTAAATCCCCACTTGCATTCCCACACAACAACTGGGTTAACCTGTCCTTCATTGGCTTGTATCCTGGCAATCATTTATCCTCCTTTGTTACATAGGTCCTCTTTGGCATATTCTTCCAAAACAAGACTGTCTCAGCACTCTTAAACATTTGCTGGGAAATTAATTCCTCTACATAGGGTTTAAATTCAGAAAACAATTTCTCAGCCTTGTCTTTGTTAGCCAAAAAGAAATGCACCTTATACACACACTTATATACATGGTAAGTGAATGCAGCCTCCCTCAGATCGCTCCCAGCTAGCAATCAACTTGAACACAAGAATATACAAAACACAACGAGGGAACCGGCTGATTATCTAAATGGAGATGAATAAAAAGAAGTATAGTGTAATACAGTTTTACAATATTAACACTGCGCAATATGAAATGCACTCACAGGATATTGGACAGTTCAGGCGTATATGGTGCCACCCCTGATGATATGGGGGGCTGGGGGAATCCCCTGGGCACTTCCACTCAAAATGCAGGACTCCGGGTGAAGATATGAAAAAAGCGGCTTTAATTGTATAAAAATATAAACTAGATACAAATAGAGGTCCTACGCGTTTCGTCCCCTCTATAAAGTATGGGACTTCCTCAGGGACCACATTATTAAAATAACAATCAATGCAGTACGCAGTTTTTTGATCGTACTGCATTGATTGTTATTTTAATATTGTGGTCCCTGAGGAAGTCCCATACTTTATAGAGGGGACGAAACGCGTAGGACCTCTATTTGTATCTATTTTATATTTTTATACAATTAAAGCCGCTTTTTTCATATCTTCACCCGGAGTCCTGCATTTTGAGTGGAAGTGCCCAGGGGATTCCCCCAGCCCTCCATATCATCAGGGGTGGCACCATATACGCCTGAACTGTCCAATATCCTGTGAGTGCATTTCATATTGCGCAGTGTTAATATTGTAAAACTGTATTACACTATACTTCTTTTTATTCATCTCCATTTAGATAATCAGCCGGTTCCCTCGTTGTGTTTTGTATATTCTTGTCTTTGTTAGCACTGGAAGCTCCGCCATGCCTCACCACAAACCTTTCAAACTTCTTCTCAAACCTTTCAAACCACCCTCTACTTGCCTTGAATATATCACTCTCACGACTTTTAACCCCTTCTGCACCGCGGGGGGTGGTGGGCACTATAGTGACAGGAAAAAAAACTATTTTGTTTTCCTGTCACTATAGTTTCCCTTTAAATATGTAAAAACTGTGCCTTTTAAAAGATGCCATTTTAAAGTGAACCTATTATGCAAAAATGAACTTACCCGAAATCGCTCCCATATACATTGAGTACACATATATCACAGAGATACATGGTGCTTTCAATGTAAAATATAAAGATTTACTCACTTTTTCTCCATTTCATAATAGCTTTGTGGGTGCTACTCTTTATGTAACACCCACCTCATTGTCACCCTCCGCTGTGCCTGCGTACCTCCTGAAGTCTTCTTTGTCAGGAACGTCGGCTTTATTGCCAATGTCGGAACGGAATGATGTCATGTCACTTTTCTACAATACTCCCAATTGGGCGCTATGGGTGGAGAGCAGATTCTCTCTCTGAGCATGCAGAGCCATTGACTGACAACTGGGATAAAATCTATTATACTACAGGGCAGTTGAATGCTTCAATTTGATTGGTTGACAAACGTTCTAAGGTGTGCATTATTTTCAGGGAGACGCACGGCTAAAGTAGTTCCAGACAGGTCTTGACCGCATTACAGTTCCATATCACTTTGCGTAGTCAACTATAACAGTGAAAAAAAAAAAAAATCAAGCCAAAGATCACCAGGAAAAAGAAACCCTCTGCTAACATACAGCCCCATGCGCTTGATCTACCATTTTCGATGTCTAACTTCACAACCAATGGAAATGTGCAGTTTAATTGGAATAAAGTATATAGTCCTATCTATAATCAATAGAAAATTGAACTGAATATACATAAATAGATAGCCCTGCTGCACGGGTTTTCGTTGTCGCCTACTGTCAATAATAGAAAAATAAAATTAGCAAATGAATTAATAAATAAATTAAATATTGATGCACATGCTTCTCTGTCACATTATTGCAACCTCTCTCTGTCTTTCTAATAACTGCATTAGTCTGCTATCAGTGGCTCAAATCTCTGTTACTAACTCTTAAATTACGTTTTGGAATTAGCAACGAAGGCATGGGAATTGATGCGTAAGAAATTATTGCTACATACAAGAGCGTTTTAATGACAAAAACTTGACAAAACGTCTTGAAATAAATCATCTAAAAACAATGTTTTGAGGTGTGGTAACTGTAGTATAAGCGGAATAATTGACTCCAGGCTGTTGAATTGTTAGAAAAAAAACAAAAAAACACAGCCGAGGTGTAACGGCCGACCACATTACCATCTCGAGTGTGCATTATTTTTCTAATAGTTCAACAGCCTGGAGTGAATTATTCCTTACTTATTAAATAGGCTTTTCTCCTAATCTAAACATTGACTAGCAAAACTGCTAATACAAAGTATAGATAGAATCTTATTCTCAGTCTATTGCTGTGCATCATGACAGGTACCCTTACACATGGCATTAAATTACTAATGCTTCTATAAGGAATACACACACTTAACTCCTTCCATTTCTGATTAGTTCAATGTTTGGTGGGAAAAAAAGTTGTTGAATAATACAACAGAAAATATAAATACAAACAATGGCTGTAACACGGTGTGCAGTATGAAGACAGACACAGTACAGCTCTCTCCACATGGAGCCGGCCACCAGGACCAGGACCAGGTGCTGTATGTGTGGCTCCCGGTCCCACCATGCGGCCATGCTCGCTCTCCACGAGGCTCAGTGTTGGCAGCAGGAGGTGGGCGGAGTCTGGTGACGATGCACACAGTACCACGAGTGGGAGTGTCCGCCGGTCTGGGATGCCCAATGGGATGCCGCTGTTCATTAAGTGGGCGGGGCCGTGGAGTTGAGCCGCTCGCAGTCTGGGAAGTGAGTGCAGAGGAGGCGGTGGGTGACGGGAGCGGGCTGATCGCCGGGCTCTACCTTGACAGCCACAGGGGACACGGGGAGCATGGAGCCCGTGCGTGGAGGAGGGAAAACCAACCCACTGGAGACCGCCAACTTCTGCTCTAAAGTGTTTTTCTGGTGAGTTTTATTATGTGTGTTCATCATAATGATGGCAAAGGTGTCTGGACTCAGGGGGGGTTGGTAGGGTTCTGTGACAGGGTGCTTGGTGTAGTTGGCAGGGTTCTGTTGGCACGGTGCTAGGTATAGTGTGCAGTTTTTGGTTGCTTGGTGTAGTTGTTAGGGTTTAGTTGGCAGGGTTCTGTTGGCAGGGTGCTAGGTGTTGTTGGCATGGTTCTGTGACAGGGTGCTTGGTGTAGTTGGCAGTGTGCAGTTTTTGGTTGCTTGGTATAGTTGTTAGGCTTTAGTTGGTAGGGTTCTGTTGGCAAGGTGCTAGGTATTTTGGCAGGGTTCTGTGACAAGGTGCTTGGTGTAGTTGGCAGTGTGCAGTTTTTGGTTGCTTGGTTTAGTTGGCATGGTTCTGTTGGCAGGGTGCTTGGTATAGTGTGCAGTTTTTGGTTGCTTGGTGTAGTTGTTAGGGTTTAGTTGATAGGGTTCTGTTGGCGGGGTGCTAGGTGTAGTTGGCAGGGTTCTGTGACAGGGTGCTTGGTGTAGTTGGCGGGGTGCAGTTTTTGGTTGCTTGGTTCTGTTGGTAAGGTTCTGTTGGCAAGGTGCTGGCAGGGTTCTGTGACAGGGTGCTTGGTGTAGTTGGCAGTGTGCAGTTTTTGGTTGCTTGGTTTAGTTGGCATGGTTCTGTTGGCAGGGTGCTTGGTATAGTGTGCAGTTTTTGGTTGCTTGGTGTAGTTGTTAGGGTTTAGTTGGTAGGGTTCTGTTTGCAGGGTGCTAGGTGTTGTTGGCAGGATTCTGTTACAGGGTGCTAGGTGTAGTTGGCAGGGTTCTGTGACAGGGTGCTTGGTGTAGTTGGCAGTGTGCAGTTTTTGGTTGCTTGGTTTAGTTGGCAGGGTTCTGTTGGCAGGGTGCTAGGTGTTGGTGGCATGGTTCTGTGACAGGGTGCTTGGTGTAGTTGGCAGTGTGCAGTTTTTGGTTGCTTGGTATAGTTGTTAGGCTTTAGTTGGTAGGGTTCTGTTGGCAAGGTGCTAGGTCTTGTTGGCAGGGTTCTGTGACAAGGTGCTTGGTGTAGTTGGCAGTGTGCAGTTTTTGGTTGCTTGGTTTAGTTGGCATGGTTCTGTTGGCAGGGTGCTTGGTATAGTGTGCAGTTTTTGGTTGCTTGGTGTAGTTGTTAGGGTTTAGTTGGTAGGGTTCTGTTTGCAGGGTGCTAGGTGTTGTTGGCAGGGTTCTGTGACAGGGTGCTTGGTGTAGTTGGCAGTGTGCAGTTTTTGGTTGCTTGGTGTAGTTGTTAGGGTTTAGTTGGTAGGGTTCTGTTTGCAGGGTGCTAGGTGTTGTTGGCAGGGTTCTGTGACAGGGTGCTTGGTGTAGTTGGCAGTGTGCAGTTTTTGGTTGCTTGGTGTAGTTGTTAGGGTTTAGTTGGCAGGGTTCTGTTGGCAGGGTGCTAGGTGTTGTTGGCATGGTTCTGTGACAGGGTGCTTGGTGTAGTTGGCAGTGTGCAGTTTTTGGTTGCTTGGTATAGTTGTTAGGCTTTAGTTGGTAGGGTTCTGTTGGCAAGGTGCTAGGTATTTTGGCAGGGTTCTGTGACAAGGTGCTTGGTGTAGTTGGCAGTGTGCAGTTTTTGGTTGCTTGGTTTAGTTGGCATGGTTCTGTTGGCAGGGTGCTTGGTATAGTGTGCAGTTTTTGGTTGCTTGGTGTAGTTGTTAGGGTTTAGTTGGCAGGGTTCTGTTGGCAGGGTGCTAGGTGTTGTTGGCAGGGTTCTGTGACAGGGTGCTTGGTGTAGTTGCAGTGTGCAGTTTTTGGTTGCTTGGTAGTTGGCAGGGTTCTGTGACAGGGTGCTTGGTGTAGTTGGCAGTGTGCAGTTTTTGGTTGCTTGGTTTAGTTGGCAGGGTTCTGTGACAGGGTGCTTGGTGTAGTTGGCAGTGTGCAGTTTTTGGTTGTTTGGTTTAGTTGACGGGGTTCTGTTGGCAGGGTGCTTGGTATAGTGTGCAGTTTATGGTTGCTTGGTGTAGTCGTTAGGGTTTAGTTGGCAGGGAGCTAGGTGTTGTTGGCATGGTTCTTTGACAGGGTGCTTGGTGTAGTTGGCAGTGTGCAGTTTTTGGTTGCTTGGTATAGTTGTTAGGGTTTAGTTTGTAGGGTTCTGTTGGCAAGGTGCTAGGTGATGTGGGCAGTGTTTGTGACAGGGTGCTTGGTGTAGTTGGCAGTGTGCAGTTTTTGGTTGCTTGGTTTAGTTGGTAGGGTTCTGTTGCAAGGTGCTAGGTGTTTTTGGCAGGGTTCTGTGACAGGGTGCTAGGTGTTGTTGGCAGGGTGCAGTTTTTGGTTGCTTGGTTTAGTTGGCATGGTTCTGTTGGCAGGGTGCTTGGTATAGTGTGCAGTTTTTGGTTGCTTGGTGTAGTTGTTAGGGTTTAGTTGGTAGGGTTCTGTTTGCAGGGTGCTAGGTGTTGTTGGCAGGATTCTGTTACAGGGTGCTAGGTGTAGTTGGCAGGGTTCTGTGACAGGGTGCTTGGTGTAGTTGGCAGTGTGCAGTTTTTGGTTGCTTGGTTTAGTTGGCAGGGTTCTGTTGGCAGGGTGCTAGG